TTTGATTGGGTTCTGCCATTTTTAAACCAGTCTGTGTGCCAAACTTCTGTTCTGTTATGGGTGTAGACTGGTTTTGGATCACTTATACCAGCAAAAATGTAATGTTTGTACCTGACATTTATGGTCCTTTCTACAATTAAGCTTGAGCTATGTAGAAGTTGGGGATGCATGGTAAGCTCTCTCTTAGCAGAAATGGAATCTGTTGCGATGTTTGGTTAATTATTGTATCATTAACTGGTTAATTGTGCAATGAATTTACATCAGCCTCACATGCAAAGTAATTATCACACAATAAAAATGACTATCCAACTATAAGAAGAGCCAGACAGCTATGAAGTTAGTGCTTGAAAATGTGTAATAACTCTATAGCTGGTTTCTATCATGCTTTAATTTGAACATGTAGCCAGGACCCTTTCTATACAGTTCTGCTTGAAATTTGGTATTGCTGGATTTTTTTTGGTTCATTTGTTTAAAAGGACTGACTGAAGCCACTGAACTTAACTTTCTTTTCTTAAAAAAAAATCCGACGTAGTAAAACCAGAAACTTGAGAAGTTCTTCCCTGAATGCTTGGTGAGGGCAAGAACCAAAGATATTTTTATTTCTCCATTGATATGTTCTAGTAAACTAGTTTTCAGGATTGGCCTGGCCATAATCTAGTCACCAGCTTTTTTATTTTTCATTCCATCCAGGAAGAGCACACACCAACTGCTGAAACTTCCTTAGCCTGACAAAGGGTTTTTGAACCCGAAAGCTTGCTTAAAAATTGTTCTCCAACTGTTTAGTTGGTTTAATAAAAGATATCAGATTCACCCAAAGAACCTTGTCTGCCTATATACTATAGGAAGTATTTATCATAGAAACGTTAACCAGGTTAACCTACCTGTATATCTTTCAGTTAAATTCAGATGTCTCCAAGGTAAACATTAAGCTGTTAACCAATATATTAATTTTTAGTCTTGGTGAGACCTGCCAAACTAGAAATTGTACAATACAGTGATAAGGTCAAATTATATTATGGAGAGACCTGACATTTTGCCATTGATTTCAGTGGGAGCAAGATTTCTCTGGCTCTTTTGGTTTTATTATATTAAAAAATACCCAATATTTTTTTCAGCTGATTCAAAATTAAAAGTTTTTCATTTTGATATATTTTGTGTGTTGGGTGTCCAGAAACACGTATATTTTCTACTGCTACCTGGAGGCCAAGTAAAGAGCTTTAAAAATTCAGATCTGTCTAAAAATGAATTTCAGCTTCAAAATGAAAAGTTGAGTGCAAACCTATAGTTTATCCCTATTCTTTTTACATTCTGTTTAAGTCTCCTATTTTTCTATTTCTGGAAACTATTTCTCTAAAAATTATGATGCAGTTTCATTCTCTTCCCTCCAATTTACAAATCGTACAGCATCTAGCTTGTTTTCTAGTTCACATATTGTACAGCCTCTACCTTGCCTTTGCAATAATTTTGCTCTGCTGTTTACAGTTCTTTTGTGCTTTAGGAACACATTTTCCCATTTGCAACAGTATAAAACTATGATTCTGAAGGAGTGAATTGTTTGCTCTGATTCCTCCATGCACTTAGTTATCCATTTCATTTTCTAAGAATCTACTTCACAACTCCAGCTCTGCTAGGTTCTTGCTGTGCTGCTTCAGAATTTTTTCCCAGGGCTTCACGTCTGTCTTCCTAAGTGTCTCATCTAGGGAATGGCTCTGAGGGCCCTGGCAGACATGACATTTATGGCACAATTAGTGCATTCATCACACCAACATGACAGCTAACTTATGGTGCCATTAATGGCAAACGAGCCTCAAAGATATTTCACATAAAATGTATGACATAAAGATATTCCATATTGTGTGGAACATCTCTGTGATTGGTTTGTATGAAACCATAGTTTTAATGTTTGGCATGTCTCAGATCTGGGGCCGCCTTGTTTGGATGCCTCTGTTTGGATGTTGACAATCATCTTATCATCAGCCTGGCAATGAGGTAGCCCTAGGTCTGGGACTGGGTGGGGAGCCCTGAGGCTCCCTGCAACCAGGCACTTTAAGGAGTCTTGCCTGCAGTTCCTTGCAGGCAGCAGTGCAAGGCAGCAAACCTGGGAAGCCCTGCATTTGGGATTAGGCAGAGGGCAGCCTCGGGTCTCATTTTGGGACCCGGGACTGCTTTCTGTCTAATTTCAGGGATAGGCCATGGGGCGGCTGCATTCGAGACCCAGGATCCTGACAGACGGCTGATCATCAGGTTGGCATGGGGCAGCCCTGGCAGCTAGAATTTGAGCTGTTTGGGTATGGGAAATGTTATGCCCTTCCCAAAATAGCATGACCTGACATGCACATGTGGCATGATAGGTCACACAATTTTGGGATGGGGCATAAAATTCCTCAGACCTCAGTTGTGCAACTGCCTTAATGTCTGCCAATAGCCAGATGCTTTCATTCTTATGTATTCTGGGAGTGTAAACAGGCCTTTGGGCAAAAACTATATTTCATTAGTTTTTGCTGTTTTGGGGAGTTGTGCAGTGCCTGGTGTCAGTGCTGTGAATGGTCAATGTTCTGTTCCCCTTACATGGATCCTCTTCTCTCAAGTAGCTTTTGACAGCAATTTGAGCTCTTAGCATGCAGGGACTCATTGTGCTTTGACTGTGCCAAAGGGGTGATAGGACTGAAATCAAATTTTGGACAGTTAGATCTTCAGGTCATTCTGTTAATTTAGATTTAGGTCCCCTCTATATGTGCAGGCAAAGGCACGATGGAATCTAATGCGTGATTCACAACAGTCATACCTTCTGACGTGCCACACGTGCGTGCCACATACACTCTAGTTGAGGGGCTCCCAGCAGCAGGGGAGACCTTGCTGCACGTGTAAATTAAAGCTGGATAGCAATCGACTATAAAGTTAGCACATGTTTTTGAGGTCTAACTACATTGCTGTTTGGAGCCTTTTAGTGTGATATAGCTACTTTGCACGTGTAGCTGTTCTCTAGGTAATTGTGCAGTAAACCAGTTAATTGTGCAATACCTGTAACGTGTAGAGGGGGGTCTCATAGACAACAAAATTTCACCAAGGGTATCATGAAACCTACAACATGTCTCCCAGCACTGCATCCTATATATGGATATGGATTAGTTAAATACTGTCAAATCCATTAGACAGGCAGTTTTCTATTGACTGTGCATCAGAGGAAGCTCATTTACCCAGTTTGTTCTGAGTACATGGAATATATTGTGCTAATGAATGGTGCTCCTGAAATGTTAGGTTCAGCCAGCAGGGTGTGAGAATAACTGGTCTATTTGTTAGGATTAAAACCATACCCTGCTTGCATTTTCCTTCTTAACAGATGCATTAGAGAAGCCTATCCCATATAATGAGCTTACAGAAAGACAGTACAAGTCTAGAAGAGCAATAGTTTCATTTCCAGGCTACTTTTAGGTTCAGGTTATTTCACATTTTCGTGATGCTGTGCATATTTAGATTTGTAACTAAAATAAACCATTAGTAATGCACTGTAAGCGTGAGTGATAATGGGCTTTGTTTCAAATTTGCAAATTTAAATCGCACAACTCTGAAAGTGTTGTGTGATATAATAGATTTCATAGACATTAGGGCTGGAAGGGACCTCAGGAGATCATCGAGTCCAGCCCCCTGCCCCAGGGGCAGGAAGTCAGCTGGGGTCAAAGGATCTTGTGTGATTCTTTCTCTTCTTCTCCCTCTCCCACACGCATGTTTTTGTGGACATAGACAAATTTTGCCCCCCCAAAATACCTTTGCAGCACTCATTGTCACGGGAAATTGAAAAGTTATATTTGAGGACAGAATTGTGTTCTTGTAGTACAACATAAAAGCTAAGATAAACTTAAGGGCCATACTGTGTTGAGTAAATGGGTTCATCTGGGTGGGGGAGAACACATGTTGAGCTGTGAAGCACCAAAAGGATCTGCAATACTGCCATGGCCCTATTGCTCGGCAGTTGGTTGTATGTAGTCCCCAAATGTACATATTTGGTTCTATGTATATATGTAGCAGCATGCAATAAATAAACCTTCCCTTTGCCTCTATACCATAGAGAGAGAGGTACTAACAGCTCTGTGGTGGCCCTCCCCATAATAGAGTGGAAACCTCTGGCACAGGTATTAAGCCTAACTCTGCATTCTGTCATTGTTATGTTTTAGTCCCCTGACTTTCAGCATAAGTAAGACATTTAGCATGTCCTTGAGTTTGCGAGCATTGCCATTCATTCAGCCTTCTGCATAGCCATATTAGTATAGTTCTTGTACCTATGCTCCATTTAAATGAGCTTAATTGAGAAAAATATATAGAACAGTTTTTTTTATTGTTTGCCATTGCATTTAGTGAACTACAAGAGCAATAACTGGTTAACTAATACTAGAGCCCATAGCAACATAGTGAAGTAGGGCTGGAAGGAGCCTCTGGAAGTCATCTAGTCCAGCTCCCTGCCCGAGGCAAGATCATCCCTATCCACACCATCCCATGCTGTAGTTGTATGGATGAGGGTAGTCAGTGAGCAAAAAGTAGAGGAAAAAGTGATTTCATAACAAAATTAGCCAAGGTCATGAAAGCTGATTATCAGTAGGTTGCTTC